TATGGTGGGGAGTAAAGGTCCAAGGGTGTTCATGGAAAAGGTAGAGTAGAACAGAGAAAAACACTGGACATAAAAAGACAAGTAACAGAGAGCAGGTATTAAATATAACAGCTATATAAAATTTAAAGTTGCCATATGAACTCTGATAATATATTTGGAAGGAAGAAAGTAAAAAAAATTGGTTAGAGTCTGCAACACAGCAATACTGAACGCACTCAGGGCTTTGAATGAAGAGGGCAAATAAATGCCTGGAAAGCCACTCCAGATCTTGGAGGGTGCCTGTCAGTTTTATCTCTGCTACATAAAACAAGTAATTAAAAATAATGAACAAATGAGATAGATGCAGAAATATCCTCTGCAATACACAGGTTTCAATAATAGCATAAAGTATAGGAAAAGACATAGATTTTGCTAAAGAAAGATCATAAATTCCTGAAGACACAGTAGAGACAATATGGACATTTTTAGAGGGGCAGGAGACTGGGTCCAATGAGGGGAATAAAACGTCTATAGCATATAAGAAACAGTGATACTCTTGGAAGTTTTCTTTTAATCCTTTCTAATCTCTTTTGGCTAATGCTGCAAGTGAAAATGTGATCTTATCAGAAATGCAAAAAGTTTTAAATCTATTTCCAGTCTTGAGTATTCTTAGAATTTGATTAGTATCTCATACGTATATGGTAAAACAAACTGAAAAGTTTTCATCAATACTCCAGAACTCAATTCATAAGTGTGTGAATCATTTAAGCCACACACATAGTTCTAAACAAATTTTACAATAGTTTTAAAAGATATACTCACAGAGCTGGGGACATAGCTTATTTGAGTTCAATTCCAGATACAAAAAAGAAAAGAAAAAGGTATACCCACAAAAGAGAAATTCAAAGTATGAACACAATAGTATTACAAATGAAAAGTGTGGAAGGCAACATTAAGGTCTGAACAAATCCTATCGAATTTATACTCCCATTTAATGATATCTACATATTTAGAGAAAAGCAAACTAAAAGATTAACACTGTCTACTTCTACTATTTCATCATTAGACAGTGAACTGAATTAATATTTATTTAATTCTATAGCATAATGTTTAAACATTAATAATTTAACAGGAGGAAAAAAGCCTGTTTTCAGAAAAAGGATGGAAAGGTTTATACTTAAAGCCTATCTAGCAATTTAAGAGGAAAGTGTTGATTAATAGGAATTTTAAAATAACTCCATCAAAATCTTTGGTGAAAGAAAAAAAAGACTTTGTCAGAAATACTAGTTACCTGACTGCTAAGGGTATAGAGAAGTAAAATATAAAGAAAAAAAAATGGACAAAGAACAGTTTCACTTTATCATGTATTTAGTGTACATATCTGTCAAATTCAGTCAAGGTCAACAGCTTTAATTTAAAAATAAAAGCGAGGGGCTGGTGAGATGGCTCAGTGGTCTAAAGCACCTACTTAGAACAAACTTAGCAAAGCAAAGGGACCGCGGTTCAATCCCCCAGCACCACATGCCAGCTAGGGCTGCCCCCTGGTGGGCTGAGCTGGCCACACACACACACAAACACACATAAATAAAAAACTAAAAAAAAAATTAAAAGCGAGACATTTTCCTGAATTATAAACCAGTTACTTACACATGTAGGTGAAAGAGAAGGTAAAGCTAAAAGCCAAAATAAACTAGTCTGCACTTCACTGAGATAATTGTGTAAAGACATTTTATATTCACAGCCCTATACTCATCTACATTCAAAACATATGATTGATATGCATACTATATATTGTAATCCTTAAGCACAATGTAAGAGAAGTATACTACATGTACATGCTAAATAATTCACTTCTTTAAAAAGCACGAAATACTAACATCCCAAATATTTAGAGAAACTAAAGATACAGTTTATCTTAGTACTATCTCATTCAATAATTGGAAAAACTGAAAGATAAGTAGAGTATCATAGTATGATAATTCATTCAAAAATACGTAGTGAGGACATATACATCCTAGATACTGAGAATTCTGCAATAAACAAAGTGAAATCCCTATTAAAGAGATTTCATTCTATTTTAGTACTCTTATTATTTTAGGGTTAATTTTGAAACATTTCCTCAAGTACAACATACACAAATCTAGCTAAAATTTTACAGAACATTTTCCCGTTTTATATATTCAACCCTGAGAGAGTATTTTCTGACTAATTATAATGAATTGTTTGAACTGTATTTAAACATCTTTCATTCCAAAGGGTAAGGCCAGGGACATTCCAAAACTCTACTATTAAATACTGCTCTATGGGAGCTAATCACTAAAAAGAAACATGTAACAGTTCAAGTAGAGAGAAAAAAAGAAAGAAAGAAAAAAAGAAAGAAAGAAAGAAATCCAGCCAGCCAGCCATAAGAAACATCATCTCACATTTCTCTATTTTGCCTACTCCAAATAATGTAATTCTTATCCTGGGCTGTAAATAGTGGAGAATGGGAACTGTCTTCTACTTAGTATTAAAAAAAAAAAAAAAATGTGGTTTTCCTTATGTAGAACACCTTTTATATTAATGTCTTCCTGAAATGTTTGTAAAACAGATTTAAAAGACACACTGTACAATCTAATTTCACTAAACTTCATTGCCCTGACCAGTTAAAAGGACAATCACAATGCCTACTTCTTAATATTATTTTGAAGTTAAATGAGGTAAGGCATAAAAAAGGTTTTAGTGCTTAATCATTCCTAGTGATAGCAGCAATCATCTTTATTCCAGGTATGAGCATTCATAATAACAATAGCTTATAATTATCATCAGCCCAATCTCAACAATCGTATGTTTGGAAACACAATAAAGAAGCTACAACAGGAAATCAAAAGATTTCTTCATCCAAAATTACTAAATATGACTGAATTTGGGGAAATTTCAGAAAGCAAAACCTTCATTAACAAGATGCTTTATCAATATTTTATCTGCTACTCCAAAGATTTAGAATATTTTGTCTTTTAAAATATTTCTTGCTTCTTATTTCAGAGTAGAATGGAGTAGCGTTTGACTAGAATTAAAAAGATAAAAAACAAACCAGGTAATGGAGCTAAGATCACTGAAGCCCTATCCTGGGCAAATCATATTGGAATTCTCTAAAATGATTCTATTTAAAGGAAATAAACAACTTTTTTTTTAAATAAAAGAAGATAAAGGCCTGGGGATATGAGTAATGATAAGGCACCTGCCTAGCATGCAAGGGACCCTAGGTTTAATCCCCTGCACCACACACAAGCATGCACGCATGCACAAATGTGTGCACACGGGCATGAAAACCCCACGTAACCTAATGGAAAGCTCTTTATGTTTTAACTAAATCTAGAAAGTAAAGATGAACTATATCTAAAGGAATGAACAAAGCCCTGAAATACAGTAAAAACATCAACAGGAATCTTTACTTTAAAAAGCTCTTTAAACTTCAAAGAATTGTGAAGAAACCAAGAAATCTTCAAGTGGAGAGGTCGCTAAATATCCAGTAACACTCACCCAACCATTGGTAGGAGATCTCTTGGACACCCAGATGCTTGAATCAGCTGAAATAGTACCAAGTTTTTACTGATTACTCTTAACAGGGAAACGGCGCAAGGCTAACTCCATACTATCAAAAATTAAAGGAAATTATTATTGAAAATTCTAGTTACTACTATTAAAAACAATTAAGAGAAAAGGAGACTGAGGAATGAGTTGTAAGGTAAATGAAGCTTACTATGTGCCTATGTGAAAATGTGTGTATTTCCTCCAGTTTACTTAGTCATATAAGTCTGAAACATACAGTGACAGAATAAAAATTCTCTAACTTAATGTTTTAACATCCTAAACTGTGTGTGTAAGATGTTTTTGACTAGTTCACAAATTGAAGGTTTTGAAGAAAAAATTTGTTTTAAAAGACAGTGAAAACTTCCCAACACTGAGTACTTTAGTAACACATAGGAAAAACTTCAGTCTCTTGTACTTAAAAAATACTTAACTGTAGGCCTTTGAATTACAGTAATGATTCTATTCAGAGGACTCATACATTTCAACACATGAAAGAGTTCATATTCCTTAACACTAAAAAAAAAAAAAAAGATTCTCAAAAGTGAAGAGTATTTTCCACATTACTGATTAATACATGAAAGTTATCAATTTAATAGAAAATATTTGATGGTATTTAATTTTAAAGAATAGTCACCACTTATATGAGGATGTAATATGTTCTTAATCTCAGAAATTGAAGGATAGTATTATGCTCCCTAAGAGAAACCATGCTTACTCCAAAATCTATAGGGTAGAAAAAAAAAAAGGACATTGTACTGCTATACAAAGCTAAAAACAAAAAGTGTGAGATTCCATTTTTCCCCCAAGTAACTCAAATAGTATAAAAATCATTCTGACCTATTGGATGTATATCAAGAGAACAAGTAAAACGAAGTGAATTTGTTTTCAACAGTTTAGGTAGACAAGCAAAAAACTTAATGTCAAGAAAGGACATGCAAGCTAAAAAAAAAAAATCACTGAATTAATATGCCAGCAAACATACCGCAACATGGCTGATATTTAATTGTAGGGATAAGTTTCTGATATAATACACCTGTAACTTATAAACATCCAACAGTTGAACCCGTGAGAATAGCAATAAAATAAGGAAATCCAGAAACATAAAAATATTTTAAAGGGTACCCATGGTAAAGGAGGGAAATGTATGATGAGGTCAGCAAGAGCGTTAACAACAGTATATCAAAAAGGAATACCTAAATCCAAGACTAGCACTACACTGACTTGGAACCCTACTGTTCCTAAAACTATGGCCAAAAAGTAAAGATACAGAATAAATTAAGAATACAGTAGGGATTGATATATAAAAACACTCAATTGATATATACAAGACTTGTCTGAGCAAAAACTCAAACTTGATTTATATAAGCAAAATTCTTGTCTGAGAAAATCTTCAAACATTTAAATTATCTATTGTAAAATTTAAAGGACAGAGCATACCAGCGTATTACCTTTCTTTCGAAAGAGTGCATTTAGGTAACTTTCTGCTTGGCATTCAATCTTATCAGTGTTGGACTGGCCCTGAGATGACAGCTCCTCTGTTGGTGTTGACTGTGAAGAATCAAGAGATGGTATACAATCCTAAAATTATAAAAAGTGTAACATACAAATTACTTTATAAACAAAATTTCTTAAATACTGCACAAATTATTTCACTAAATTCCCATTTTTGCTACCTTTTCAATTATACCAGATTATATCAAAGAAACATAAAAGTTTGGAGAAGTCAGGAGAAAAATTAAGCTCTGAAAGAGGTCCCAAGTCCCCTACTCCTTAGTGAAACCAAAATATATGGCTGAACAAACTGACTATATGGTATGCTAGTACTGTAATCCCATCGGAGTTTTAATAACAAAGCAGATATGTTTATCCAGTAATATGAACTAGATCAGTACAGATTTTTCAAGTTCTCATTTCTTCATAGTTCTTCTCATAACAGTGGATAAGAAACCAAGGTATACTACCATACAAGATGCTGGTTGTATAGTTTACATCTTGTATCCAGTAGGTATTCACTATATTTCACCATTTATACAGGATAAGCCAAAAGATATGAAGAATAAGTGAAAGATTAAAAACAAGAAGCACGGAGCCGGGGAGATAGCTCAGTAGAATAAGCGCTTGCCTGGCAAGCGCAGGGTCCTGAGTTCAATCTCCGGTTCTGCAAAAATAAAAAGAAAGAAAGAAAGAAAGAAAGAAAGAAAGAAAGAAAGAAAGAAAGAAAGAAAGAAAGAAAGAAAACTAGAAGCACATTGTTCCCTTACTGGAGATTTCTAAGAAATCAGATCATAGGGTGGTTTCAGCCGAAGCTAGGCCTCTAATCTCACCCTATATACCTATATACCAAAATGACCTCAAGTAAATTCACAAGCCAGGGAATAAAAAAGATGAATAATATAGGGTTTTCACCTGCAAATAAAACTAAACATTGGAATTTCAGTATAAATTCTGATATATTCTTTTCATCTAGCAAAATCAAGTATTTAAACTTTTCACCGTGAGTCACAATTTTTCAGGACAAATTAAGTGAAAAAAAGAAGTCTGCTACAACTGTGCAATTAGCTTAAAAATAATTTCATGGCACTAAAACTTACACTGACTGCTTCTCTTTGTAGGTTACAAAATGAACATTTTTCATCCATAGACCAGTCAGTCAGCTCTTCTGGTTCACAGTCTTTAAAAAAGGGAAAAATATTCATTAAACACACTAACTTCATTATAACCAATAAAAATTCCCACTCTTTATAGCAATGGCAAAAGGACAAAAACAAAATAAACCAAAAAGTGTTAACTAGCAGGAAGTGGAGGAGTCTAACTTTAATGCCATAGAGACAGCCACATGAACACTGTGATTTTACTCTAACATGAAACGAAGCAGTAAGAACAATGAGCTGGTCATAATTGAACAATTTAACAACAGGGTTGTAAAGTAGCACCTAATTTTCTAGAATATTCAATTTATTGTCTGTCGAGTGATTTTATTATTATTTCATAGAAAAGGAAATCAGAACAGAGAAGGTGATAAGGGGAGGAAAGGCTTAAATTTTTTACACCACAAAAAACAACAAAGGGAAACAACCCGCTCAGGCCCCCCTCTCTCGGACAGGAGCTTTCTTTCCCTCAATGAATATATTCTGCTCATAAAACAACAACAAAACAAACAAACAACCAAACCCCAAAAAACAACATAAAATAGAAAAATGAAAGAAAGGAGCAGGCAAGCCCCATAGATTTGACAAGATAGAAAGATATCTAAAAAATCAAGTAGTCATGAACAAAAGTCAGATTAGATACTTACTACATTTTCAAAACTTTAAATAGAGTTAATAGTAAAAATCTGGTAAACAAATAAGATACATTACTCAATACAAAGCAGGGATTTTTTTTCAAAAGTGATTACTTATAATCCAACACTTGTAATGTATTAGAAAATTTCTGGAAAACAAAAGGCAGTCTCTAAAATTTTTGAAAGTATAACAATACTGTCATTCTAACTATAAGTGGTAGAGACCCTACTTTTCAGATTATCCCTGCAGAAGAATATTACTCCAATTTCCCAAAATAAATTTATATTCGTAACCTCAAGTGCAAAATCATTATCATCTGAGGCAGTTACACTGTGACTAATTTGAAAAACTGGTGTACCACAGAAATTTTCTCTCATGCTTTTGAAATACACAATTCAGTTGAATATATTCCTCTGCTAAACAGAAACAAAGCTTGTTTTCAAAGATAGTGAATAAAAGTACTAGTTAGGACTCTTCTGTATTAATCCAAATTTACAGAATAGGTCATTTGTTGATAGTATAAAAAAATGCAGTGCCATCTCCATTTTGGCAATGGTGTACAAATATTACTGATATTTACATAGATTTGGTAAGGGTGAGAAATGGGACCACAAAATCTACAACAGAGTAACAGAAAGAGAACTATACTTGAAGTCTCTGAGAGTCTGGAACAAAAACACACTATGTAGTCAAAACCAATTTAAGCCACAATGGTTTCTATTTTAGTTGCCTTATGTGTAAAACGAGGGCCACAGTACATAACTCATTTGCACATCTAATGAAAAAATATGAAAATTTATGTTATAAAGTATAAATTACAATGTAGCTGGGCATGCAGCCCACGCCTGTGATTCCAGCACTCTGGAAGACTGAGGCAGGAGGGTTCAAATCTCAAGCCCAGCTTGAGCAACTTTGCAATTTATCAAGACCTTGTCTCAAAGTAAACTATATAGAAGAGCTGGAGATAAAGGCTGACACAAAGGCTCTTGATTCAGCCTACAGTTCCATAACACCTAACTAAACCATAATGTATAGGTATTAACAAGGTAAAACTACTACGTTATTATTTTTTACCCTATTTAGGGGTTTTTTGGGGGGAGTATTTTTAAGGAAGGGTCTACAGAGTGTTCAGGGTCTAATTACTGGATTGGACTCCTAGTGACCTGCCTGTTTACAGCCTCCCAAAAGCCAGGATTACAGGCATGTGCCACCACACCCAGTCTCAAATGCCATCTCAGCACACCCCGGGGGCAGAGCTGGCACAGCAGGCTCAAGTATTGAACCCCAGGCCCCCGTGCCTGTTTGCAGGTGCTTTGATCCACTGAGCTATTTGGCCAGCCCTTAGTGTATGTTTTTAATATGATTTGCAGAAGACATAATTTTAGTGGAATATTTGCTTATAAAATTGGTTACTTTCTGGGCTGCAGAGATAGCTCAGTCTATATGCCTGCCTAGGTATGTGCAAGTACCCAGGTTCAATCCTTGGTACCACATGCCATGCTGGCCCCACTTTGGGCACGCTGAGCTGGCCACCAAGACTGGAAAAGGTAGCACATGTCTATAATCCCAGCATTGGGGAGGCTGAGACAGGAGGATCACTATGAGTCTGAGCTGCATAGTGAGACCCTGTAGCAAATACATTTAAAAAAAAAAAAAAAAAAGGTTACTTTCCTATAAACAACCAATCAAACTTTAAGTGATCTATACAATTAAGAAGCAGGTTCCTATAGAACTGTAGATCAGTACGCTTATGTTATTTTAAACCTTTTATTCCCTTAACAGAATTGCACATACACATTCCTGGAACACAGGATTATGAAGTGTCTATTACTAGGAAAGTGGAGCTCTCTGACCAATGGAAGGAATGAAGAAGTTATAGTATACTGTGCAAGCTGTGACTTCAATAGGCAGGACATATTTCCCCAGTTCACTTTTTCTTTCCCCGCTCAACATGACTCCTTCAGGCAGGAATCATGTGGAGAAGCTATGAGTCACACCTATAGTTTGAAGACCAGCTAGCTCAGACCACCTGTGCTATACAGAGTTTGGAGTT